AGGCGGAGGTTGGCAAGGTTCCTGACCGAACCGGAGTGATGCAGGGTGTGGGAGTGAGTGTGTGTGTGTGTGTGTGTGTGTGTGTGTGTGTGTGCAGTGTCTTGGGATGGGAAGTGGTCATAGCTGAAACTATAGGGCCTCTGCCTCACAGGCTCACTGTCCCAAGGTGGGGAGGAGGGGGTCCGGGGGCTGATGACACCCCAACCAGTCCTCACAATGGGCTGCTGCTGTGGGTGAAGCTGGGCACGGGGCCTCCTGAGGTCAGCTCCCCTGGGCCAGCTCCCCTGGGCCGGCCCTGGTCCTCCCCTGGCCCCCAGGGCGCTGGAGTGGCAGCTCCGTTCAGAGTCCCTCAGAGAAGGGACCTGTAGGCAGCCCCTTTCCCACGGATGCGTCTTCATCTATTCGTTTTTTAAAACCACTTTACTGAGTGAGGTCTGACTGACATGCAACAAAACTGTACACATCTAATGTACACAACTGGGTTGGGGAGCTCTGGTGGGGGCTTTCACCCCTGGATACTCGTTAAATCGGTGTCTCTGTAGAGGCCTGAGGGCTGGGACATCCTATTCTGCCATCTTGCTCTCCATTCTTCATCTACTCCCTGCACCAAGGTCTGGAACGCCCCCATGGAGGCACATCCAGGCCCTTGCGGGGGGCGGGGTGGTGGGGGGGGGCAGCGGTACACAGCAGGGCTGCCCGGAGCTGGCAGTGTGACTTTGAAGGAGCTGCTTAGCCTCAGCCCCGAGCCTCCTTCCCTCATCTGTGAAATGGAGATAATACCCACCTCCCAGAGTTGTCAGGACTAAATGAGGAAGGAACGCAAGATGCCAAGCACATAATTAGTGTTCAACAAACAGTCGCTGTTGTAATTATCTATTATTAGCTCCGCTCTGGGCCCACCTCACCTGGGAGACTCCAGCCTCCTCTCCCGCCGGTTCCTGAAGCGCCGCTGGGAGAGCCTGTGGCGGGAACGCCTGGCATTGTGATCTAGCGAGCTGTGCCCGACCAGAGCCGCCCCTGCATCTCTGCTACCCTCTCCCCCGCCCCCCCAGCACCCCAGACAGTCAGCCCCTGAGAGGAACTCCAGGATACAGTACGAAGTGAAATGAAGAGAAGGGGAGGGACCCAGGAGGGAGAGGCCAGAGAGAGACTGAGGGAGGGAGGTAGGAGGTGGGAAGGAGGGCGCAGCGTCCGGGCGATGACACGCCTCTCCTGCAGCGCAGGGAGGAGGAAGGATGCCCAGAGGCCGGCGGTGAGAAGGGGACGTCTTTCCCATCCTGTGAATCCCTTTTCCTTTTTCACAAACTCACGTGGAAGAGTCTCTTTTCCCGCCGCTGCTGATCCCAAGAGGATAGTGCTCCTGACGCGGCTTCTATTCAATCTATTAATTGATTCTAATAATGTTCTCTATCTCATCTATGGAACCTTCTCTCTCTCTCTCTCCTTCCCTTCCTCCCTCCTCTCTGCCATCTCCCTCTTCATCACCTTTCCAAGTCACTTCCTCCTCTCTGCACCTATAAAGCTAGATTTGCCCTGGCCGGTTTGGTTCAGGGGTTAGAGCGGGCCCTCAGGCTGAAGGGTCCCGGGTTCGATTCCAGTCAAGGTCATGTACCTTGGTTGCAGGCTCAATCTCCGGCACCAGTCAGGGCAGTTGTGGGAGGCAACCAATCTCTCTCTCTCTCTCTCCCCCCACTCTTTCTAAAAAAACAAACAAACCCACAAACTAGATTTAACTAAATAACCTCAGAAGTCCTCTCTTCCCCTAGCATCCTCTCATCTCTCTGCGTTAATTCTCTTGCCTATCTTGATGCCTACCTCTCAGTTACCCAAACAACTTAAGCTATTGAGCATCATTCCTCCTTTTTCTAAAAAAGAAGAGAAAATATTTTTCCAAGAAAGTTTATAAATGTCCATTAGGCTCTAAAGCTTTATGAAGGACTTTCTTGATCTCTGCTTTTTGTCAGTGCCTAGCTCAACACCTAGCAAGCAACAGGCATTCAATAAGTATTTGTTGAGCAGTTGGGTAGATGGATGGGGTCTAATGAATGTCATTGCTGAAAGAATATACCAGTGCAGATAACAGGTGATCACGGTTCCCCTAACGAGGCCGTTCTAGGTGAGTTTAGACCACACAGTTGTGATACTGGGGGCTTTTTTAAAATGTATTTTTATTGATTTCAGAGAGGAAGGGAGAGAGAGAAATATATAAACATCAATGATGAGATAGAATCATTGATCTCCTGCACACCCCCCACTGGAGATCAAGCCCAAAACCCAGGCATGTGCCCTTGACTGGAATCGAACCCCAGACCCTTCAGTCCACAGGCTGATGCTCTATCCACTGAGCCAAGCCGGCTAGGGCAACACTGGGGACTTTTCAATGAGGACACGTGGGCCTCACCACATGCCCAAATGGGTGTTTCCCTTCAAGATCATCATCTCGGAAAGCTGTGCACTTAACCCAACAATTCGGCCATTGCTGAAAACATTTTATAAAATATATTTTTATTGAGTTCAGAGAGAAAAGGGAAGAGAGATGGAAACATCAATGATGTGAGAGAATCGTTGAAGGGCTGCCCCCTGCACATCCCACACTGGGGATCGAGCCCACAACCTGGGCGTGTGGCCTGACCGGGACTGGAACCGTGACCTCCTGGTCCTTAGATCAACGCTCAACCACTGAGCCATGCCGGCCCACCCTGAGAACATTTTTGGAGCCTCTCCTTTCCTCTCAGATAATATTTAAAACCCACATTGTACCTTCGTGGCGACTCGGGCCTTCGGTTTAAAACAGTTCCCTGCCACTTAGCACTCATGTCCTTCCCCACCAGGCTTGGCTCCCAGGGGCTTCGGCCGCCTTCACAAGACCAGACACACTCGCAGGCCGACCCTCGGCCTCCGCAGGTGCATCAGCGGCTCCGAGGAATTCGTGGCCTGGAATTCGAACGACTGAGCCGTGGCAGGCGGAGGATGAGCCCACGGCTCCCTGACGTGACCACGCAGACGGCCTGCAGGCGTTTGGATGTGTAAGTTCTGCGCTTTATTTTCAAAACAGCCGCACGCAGCACAGAGGAATGCCACCCGGGGCTGGACACAGACCAGCGGATCAGGCAGCCGCTGAACAGGAGGCGGAGGGGCAGCAGAGGCTTTATTGGGAAACAGCCCCTCGGGGCACAGGCCCGCACTGGGGCCTGGACTGAGGCTGGGGCAGCGGCCACGCAGCCACCTGCTTCCCCTGGGCCCTGGGTCTCCTGCCTTCACTTCCTGGGAGGAACCAGGAAGGTGCGGTGACCTCACCCTGTGTGCACGTCAGGCGGGAGGTGAGGGGCCAGGGAGGCTGCACCTTCATCACACTCCGTGCCTCCCTCCAGAGTCCGCGGTGGCTGGGCCGGCACCTCTCATTATCTGTCTCCCAGCCCCCCTTCCAGGAGCGCCCTGGTCTCTTCCCCAGGGTCTCAGCTCTCGGTCTTGGTTGGATTCAGGCAGGCCACTGAGGAGGAGCAGCAGGAGAGGAAGGGGAAGGGGAAGGGAGGGGGGAGGCGAGGAGAAAGGGAAGGAGCAGGGGGAGCAGGGGTGTAGCAGGGATGAGGAAGGCGAGTGAAGGGGGGCAATGGCACTAACGCTCACGGCTTTTCCCGCCCGCAGCTGAGGCCCTGCCTCCCCGGAGCGGCCATGTCCGAAGGGGAGAGCAAGGACAGCTCGGGCAGCGAGTGCCCCGTGTGCTACGAGAAGTTCCGCGACCTGGAGGGCGCCAGCCGGACGCTGAGCTGCGGCCACGTGTTCTGCCATGACTGTCTGGTCAAGTACCTGCTCTCCACCCGCGTGGACGGGCAGGTCCAGAGGACCATCGTCTGCCCCATCTGCCGCTACGTCACCTTCCTCAGCAAGAAGAGCTCCCGCTGGCCCTCCAGGCCCCCGTGTGCTACGAGAAGTTCCGCGACCTGGAGGGCGCCAGCCGGACGCTGAGCTGCGGCCACGTGTTCTGCCATGACTGTCTGGTCAAGTACCTGCTCTCCACCCGCGTGGACGGGCAGGTCCAGAGGACCATCGTCTGCCCCATCTGCCGCTACGTCACCTTCCTCAGCAAGAAGAGCTCCCGCTGGCCCTCCAGGCTGGACAAGAGCGCCCAGACGCTGGCCGTGCCCACGGGC